CTTAAAAGTACTTAATTTCCATGTGCAGAAATATGTACGAACCCTGTTATAGGCAAGAACTTGGTCAACTGAAAGCACCTGCCAGTAGTTTAATTTAAACATTTTTAGCAATATTTGCTAGCTATATAAGAGAATGTAAATCTCAGTATATAGGAAAAGTGTCTGTAAGGTATATGCAAAGTTGCTGCATCAAATAAATGCTAAAAAAATCTGGCATCGTGAAGTATTTGGGAATTTTTTTATGCAAGATGGTTCATGATAACCAAGAGAGACCTTTGAGTTTATATAAGCAGCAATAATGGCTTCTTTCGCCATGGGAGTGTATTTTCTAACGTGGTTTTACATTCAATGCAATTCAATCATTTAGGGTGCTTCCATTAATTAATAGAGTACTTTTTTGTTCTCTTGGTACCTCAGTGATAATCTGAAGGCTATCATGAATGGTTCTATTCAGTGAAATGGTTACGTTGCACATTCGGAGAATCTACTGTAGCTGTGATCACAAATGAAAAGAAACACAAATTTGAGAGTAAGGTGTGCAAAGAATTCTCTCTGTAGGGTCATGGTCAAAGGAGTGCCCATGCAAATTCAAGATTTCAGTAGTAACATCAATGTGCAACACTAAATTGATCTCGCTGACTGGCAGCATTGTGAAATAACTAAGCCACTCCTTACTCCTTATATCCCATGTGTTAAATTCAGATTTGAAACAATGTATCAGGAAGGCTGTCCACTTCTTATATACTTTCTACTTCATGCATCACACCCAGGCAGTTTAGAGGTGTGTTAAAGTTATTGCAGAGATTTCCAAACAAGTATGCTGGGCTTGATCTTGAGATGGAATAATCAGAATAAAAACTTTGAACAGGTTAGTTATGTCCACTTTCAAAACTCTGATTTCAGGACTATTAAGTAACGACCAGGGGTACAGTGAACATTAATCATATTTTAATAGTTTTTTAGTGAAAAATGGATTAAACTTTAGTGATGCTATTAAAAATTGCATATCGGACACATTTATCAATTGAAAAAAACTGCAAGACCAGTTTTGAAAAGGAGACCGATATGTAAAATTGGATTAAAAACCCATTCCAAAATTACTGTAAATCATTTAACTTGCCAATGAAGAACAGAAAATAATTAATGATGTATCAATAAGCTTGACATTAAAAATTAGATACCAGTTAAAACAGCAATGTTGTGATTTAAAATAATTATGCTCTTCAGAATAATTTATTTGAGTGAAAAGTTATTTTCAACATAAGTGATGAAATGTATGCAGCAAAAGTGAAGTGCAGAAATAGACTGAATATTAAATACAATGTATGCTTATAAATAAAATCAGTAGACATTTATATGGTATTTTATGTAAAAGAAGTGATTAAAAATAAGTTATTACATCCAAGTGATTGAAATTACTGCATAGAAGTAATTAGCACTAATTAATAACTACACTTCTGAAACTTTCAAAACATTCTGTAGAAAACTATAAGGACATTATTGTTTATTTTTTCCCCATTTTTAAGTATGTATAGCATTGATATATTTTTTAATGTTTTTTAAGGTTTATTTTAATACAGTCAAAAGTCGTTAATCCGGACTCGTCGGGACTTCGGCGATTCCGTATTATAGATCATCAGTTTAAATCTCGTAAGATGGCATGCAGAAATTCTAAAATTAAAAATATGAAACCGTAATTTATGAAATAAAGAACAATTATGATCTAAAGGGTATCAAAATTTGCTAAAAGAAAAAGCTTAATATTTATTTGTTTACTTTATTAAACATTTCTTTCAATGTAAGTTGTTTAAGTTTTGCTTCGTTGCATGTGATAATACTTTCTCTTTAATTCTATTAAACAGACATAATTTCTTGTTCAGTTACAAAGTTCCGCCGTTCAAGTCCTATAATTGCTGTGTCGAGAACACCGACTAATTTGTCAATCGAAATTTTTTCGTTTTCACTAACCTCTGTCACTTTCTTCGCTATCGGAAGCGAATTATAATTCCGAGGAACTTGTTTTAAATCATATCAAAGATGGAGCACATCGAGATGAAATACTAATTTGGTTTAGGAATTATAAACCAAATAAAATAAAAACATCTGCCCTGAAGATAAGGATAGTGCTGACAGATCAACTTCCAATTCATTACGCGCCCGCTGCGGCGTTCCCCCCGCCGAGCAGCGTGAAATTGATAAACAGATTTCGGATTTCAAAACATACTTTCGCTTTAGATCCTTTACATATTAACAAATATATATCGGAAATTTTATTTGATATAATCGAAAGTTTAAGCTTACTTTTATAAAATTGCTCTTACAGTCTGCAAAAAATAATAAGCCGGATCCAATTCGAAAATTAAGGAACAACGCAATCATCAACATTAACTGAAATAGATAATTAGATAATTTTAGCTTATACGTCCATTATACATAAAACGCGAACGCGAAAACGTATTCTGCACTTGCGCACACTCATATGCGCAGTCCTAAAAGGTCTTACGCGCACGCGTCAACGCGGCGCATGCGCAGAAAGTTTTTAGTTTTGAGGTCCGGATTATAGATCATTCCGAATTATGAGTGTCCGAATTAACGACTTTTGACTGTATTATTTCTTTATTAAGGATGGTGGGAAAATATGAGCTAAGATTGATAACAATGAACGTCTGTCAAATTCTGTAATTTTCACTTATTTTGTCATTTTGAGTAGTCAAAATCATCCCACTGGCATTTTTAACCAGTTGAAAGATGAATGATATATACAACACGTGGCACCAAAAGCCTTTATGTAACAAATTATCCCTGTTCTTGACATGTTTAAAGTGAAGCGACACAGTTTTCCATAAACAAAGCATCTAATCTTAAGATAAAAGATTTTTTTTTTCCATGTTTATAAAGTGTATGTGCAATTTGAATTTTCAATTTATTTCATGTGTATAAAAGCATATGTGTAAATTGAATGTTTGCACAGTGTATAACTGAAATTATGTAGCATATTTTCATGTCGTGTGTTTTAGAGAGTTATATGTTAATTATGAAAACCATATATTGAAAAGAGTATGCGATGTTTTTACTGTATAATGTTTTTTCCACTTCCTCTGAGCACACTTGTTAGAGCTGAGATAGTAAACATAATTAGTTAGTAATAACTTAAATGTTTTGTAAATTTACAATAAATGTGAAAGAAAAGATCATGTGGAATTATAAAGTTATACATTTGGTGTCATGCAAAACAAAACTTGGTTTACTTTATTTCAACAGAAAAATAATAAATTAACATGCATTCATTGAGACTTTTTGGGTACTTGTCTTCTGTAGCAGCTTCGACAAGAATGTTGATTTGGTGCATTTCAGCATTGGTGAGAAACAGTTGCCAATCTGCACATGTGTGAGAAACAAATGTAATTATATTCTGTCAGTGTAATGGTTTTTCATTGCAAAATGCTTGTTTTGCTTATTATTTTCGAATAAAATCATAAATTTTAAAGTTTTGTATAGTTTGTTACAAGTTTACTACAAAAATAACATACATGCTGGAAATGTCATTTTTTACAAACTCTTTCTGGTGGCCTGAGTTCAGCCATTGCTGTTAATTATGCTTTAAACACAATATTATGGCTGGCATGCTGCTTGAATAGGAACTCTGCTAAATAGGGTTTTAGGTGATGCTGAGCCATAGCTCTATGCTTTTTATTTTGCCATTTAGTTGATCCTCTTTGTGTCATGAGAAAAGATATTTGGGATCCAATAAACCAGTTGTGTTGCTGAAGGGTTTCTTTTCCAACATATAAATGCATATTATGCCCATTTTCACAAATTTTTTCTTTTGGAAAAATACTGTTTTCTTGTAAAAAAACTATAGCTTCTTTCAGTTGATCCTAGAGGGAAAATAGTAAACATAATAAATATTTGCACTGAAAAACTGCTATAATTAATAAGTGAAAATTTTGATTAGCTGAAAAAACGTGAGCTATTAGCACACAGAAAAAATTGCTATATTTTAAAATTGAAGCTAGAAGAAATCCATATACAAAGATTGGTAACTGTTGAAAAATAGCCATATTTTAAAAGCAAAAATTTGTGTTAGCCAAAGAAACATGACCTGTGAGCATGAACAAAAAAATCATTGTATTTTAAAAGTGACTCTAGAAGAAATGCATATGCTTAGATAGGTAAACGTAAGCATTTATTTCTCACCAGTGCAGAAAGGTGCCAAATCAACATTCTCACCGAGGCTGCTGCAGAAGACAAGTACCCATTTTTTAATGTTATAAAGTAAAATAATTAAGGTTTTTATTTGGGGAGAGGTGTCAAATTATCACATATATAAATTAAAAACTTATTAGCAATTTTTTAATGTATGATGTGTTTTTATAAAATATATGCTATCTAAAAAGATTCAGAATGATGTATTCTAAAGTTTCTAAATGCAGTAAAAATTAGAATAAATGCTAAAAGGATTCTACAAGAAGTTTAATTGCAGAAAAAAAGATCTTATTGACTTCAAAATTTCATCAAATCATATCTTTTATAATTTGTAACTGTTTTTGGTAACTTTTGATTATGTTTCTGCCACACATTTTGGCATCTGAGAATGAGAATCCAAACACATGCCGAGATCCATTAACATCACCATCATTGGTTGTGCATATGTTTTTAATTATAAACACGTGCATACTACAAATTGTTTACAGCTAAAAAAAAAACCACTAAAATGTGTGGCAGGTGTGTAACGGAAAAGTATCTATCTTTTTTATACTAGATTACTGTGATTTAATAATGAAATTGTGTATTCAAATATAGTAATAGGTATTAAAGTTTTTAAATAAGCATAATTAATTTAAATATCACAATAAGTGCATTTATTGCATAAAATAAATCTTCAAACTTTTGTTGTGTATGATTAATTTTTACTGGCTATTTCCAAATTATGTAGCTTAAAATACATTATTAAATTCCGTTTTTCAAAATGTATGCTGTTTTTTTCCCACCTACCTTAGGTTCTCTCAGCCCAATAAAGAAATTACTTATAGCTAATCGTGGGGAGATTACATGTCGTATTATAAGAACTTCTAAAAAACTAGGTTTGCAGACTGTAGCTGTATACAGTGAAGCTGACAAAAATGCATTGCATGTTGCTATGGTAAGCATGAATTTCTCCATATTGCATGTATAAGTTCATGTTACGTTGATAAATAACAAGCAAAAATTTCCTTTTATATCCTGGATCCCATTGTAGTTTAAAAATTCTGTATTTTAAAACCAGTCATTTATTTTTTTAAAAAAATGCAATTTAAGAAATAAAAGTTGTTATAAAATTTATATTCTATCGTATTATAGCTGTAGAAAATAAATTAATCAATTAGAAACTAATTTTAAATAACGTTTTTAAATAACGTTACCTAACAACAACATACAGGAAAATGATCAGACAGAAAAAGGAATCGCATCAAAATAGTTTTAAAGTTTAGAGCATGAGTTCAAACAATTACAGCTCACGTGCTTTGAACTGAGTATTTTCTCTATATTGTCGGTAGAAGGCGTTGTTGATGATATTCATTTGTTACTGTTTCCTTCCCTGGCTACGAAGACATCTTGGTAAGTAGTCAGAGGAAGAATTGTCGTATTGGTTCCTTTGCGCAGCATTCTTAGAAATATTCTTTCTTGGTTTCCATTTCCAAGTGGAGTGCTTCTTTGTGAGATTACTCAATGGACCCCAAAATTTAGCTTTAGAAAAAGTTCTGAAAATTCTCCTCACTTTATAGTGTATGCTTTTTTACCTACAGAATGTTCATGTTTATCTTGTTAGAGCTGTGTTGATTTTTTTACCCATACTAAATCCTGAAAAGCACTGAAAGACTGCAATTTTTTACAAAAACGTAAATATATACAGTACTTGCAACTTATTAAACTCATTTCCATTACAAACATATTTGAGTTTATTAAGTGGTTGAGTTTTGCAGTTTTGAATGAAGTTTTGCCAAGTTTTATTAAATGGCTAAGTTTTAGCAATTTTTGTATTGCAAATCATGTCATCAGTTTTAAAATTGTCAGGTAAAATAATAGCTAACAATTAAAAATAAAAATTATTTAATTCAGTGGATAATCCTAAAATGATGATTAAAAATTAATACTAAAGTTAAACTATTTTTGCAATTTTGAATTTTTTAAATTTTTTATAAAAATATTTTTGAAATTACTCTCTTAATGAAATATAATCTCTTACAAACAATTAACCTATCTATGTTTTTATATTGTTCAATAGCAGTTTCTCAGTTGTAGTCTCAATTTTTTAAAACTTCTAGTAACTTTTCTGATTAGCACCTTTCAGTTCAAGAGTGCTTCTGAGAGTTTGCAGTGCTTTTTGATATTCAGTTGATGTTGGTATTTCATCACTTTCTGTCAGTTTCTGCACTTCCTTTAATACTGTATAGTCAGTTTTTACACATGTTGTCTCAATACTTTTCCAATCAGCATGTCATGAAAAAAAATTTCCTCACTGATGTCTTGATCATTAGCTATAGCTTGCGATTTCTCTTAGGCTTTTCCAATCAGCATGTCATGAAAACAAATTCCCTCACTGATGTCTTGATCATTAGCTATAGCTTGCAATTTCTCTTAGGCTTTTCTACATAAAACCACATTTTTGAAAATAGTTTTTAACTAACTTTAAGAGATTAACACTCTGTGTTGACTATAAAATGCATGGTCGTACAGAACTATCGACTTATTTATCTCTTCTGAATTCCTTGCATTTTCATAAAATTCAATTCTGTTCATTATTTTCTGAACATCATTTCTATAATGAGATCTGAAATTTTTATAATACCCTGGTCTGAAGGTTGAATGTTAGAAACTATATTTGGGGAAAACGATGAGAATGTTTTTCTGAAAGAGATCACAGGTGTGTATGCTGCATCATTATCTAATTAGTTATTTTTTAATTTTTGCAGTTTGCTATCTCATTGCAAAAGAAAATCAGTAAAAACATAACTTTACATTCATGAATTTGTGTTGCTATCATAAAATTAGAGGTACAACCTAAATTGCCATAAATCTAAATTTTGCTAGCTTCTTAAATATTTTATTCTTCTCCTTTGAAATTAACATTACAAGAAGGTATGTGTGTTGGTATTATAATAGAAAACTTCATTGCTAAAATGCATTAACGTTATAAAAAGAAAGAATTATGAGTCACCTAAAATCCTAAACACAGAAGACAAAAAATCCACAGAACTCCTGTTACATTGACATTTATTCTTCAATGTCTGACCTCTTCAACATCTTTAAATGTTCTGCATCCTCATATATTTTGTCAGTTATTGTTATTTTGAAAAATCTTTTCCTTTTAAACTTTTTCTTACTGTTATCAGTTACCTTTTTCTGATCTCTGTCTTGCTGCGAACATGCACTTGAAAGCCATTGGATTACAGACAGTCTGCTTCGTTTACAGAAAGTATTACAGTCCCACTGTCTCTTGAAATACACAGTTCATAAACACATAAGGCTGACTTGTGGTAAGTCCCAAAGACTTTGTCTGGCTTAGCTAGGTTAGCAATGTGATACATAATGGGTTAATAATTGGTGATCACTGAATTCGGTGCCTCATGTTTGGGCATGAATTTTTTACTTTTTTTTATATATATTTGCGATCTGGTTAAGATGTAGCATCACCCATACATTGTCAGCTGTTTGTAGAAAGCTTTTTGCCATTGACAGTTATAATATGTTTTGCTTCCGTTTGGCGTGGACTTCTGAATTCTCTGATAAAAAGGATGATCTGTGATGTTAAAAAAGCATCAAAGTCATTTGAGATATAGGGTTATTTCAGCCACAAAATTATCATTGTTGATTAGTACTATTAGGTCATGGTTAACATTATCTCTTGTTCTTAATTATCTGCCAAACTGCACAAAATCATGATGATTCTATTAAAACAGCACAGAATCGGGATGATTCTTGAAATCTTATGAATTGGGATGATTCATTTAAAACTGCGTATAATCAGGGTGATTCTATTCAAACTTCATTGTATCAAAATGATTGATTTAACTTCACAGAATAAGGGTGATTCACTGAACTGGAATGGTTCATTTAACTGCATAGGGCTGATTCTTCTAAACTTCACAATCGGGATGATTAATTTAAAACTGCAGCGAATTAGGGTGATTCTATTCAAACTTCACTGAATCAGGGTAATCCATTTAATGTAGAATCAGGAAATTCTTCAGAATTTCTTTGAATCTGGATGCTTCATTTAAAACTGCATAGAATCGGCAATTCTATTCAAACTTTACTGTGTTGTAATAATTTATTTAATTGCATAGAATTAGGCTGATTCTATTTCTTCTAAGCATTACTTCGTTTAACTAGTGTTCCATGGGCTTTGTTTCTTCAAGAAAATCATTCGTTCATGGTAAAGGGTACTTGTTTACAATAGTAGCGTCGTTTGTTTTGCAATAGTTGAAACAAAGCCTTATGCTACAATAGGATTGCCACATGGAGATTCATATTTTTCAATTATACCAATAGCCAGGAAAGAATCTAATTCTTTTTTGAGCAATTCTCTTTTTGTAGGACTCATTTTGTATTGGATGTTCTGTAACTGGTGAACTGTTTCTCATATTAATACAATGTTCACTCTATAGGATTGGGTCTCTCCCTGGTTCGAAGCAATACTCAAATCCTTCCAGTAAGGGATTTAGTTGAGTAAATTATTTTGTATTTAGATGTTTATCTTTGTCACTTCAAAGATTCACTATAGAGGATATTTCAAAAACTTTAACAGAACTGAAAGTTTCTGTAGTTCTTTTCTGAGAGTCAGTAATGGATATAAAATTTTTAGTCTTAGACACTGGTTGTTCTCAATTGGATAAATCATTTGGACCCTACATTTGACACCATTTTATAAATGAAATTGCCATAAATCTAAATTTCTTAAATAGTTTATTCTTCTCCTTTAAAACTAATATTACACTGAAGGTATGTGTGTATAATAGAAAATTTTATTGCTAAAATGCATTCGCATTTTATTTTTCACATTATAAAAAAGAAGTACCAGTCTTGTAAAAGGCTATAGGCTGAAGACAAAATATTCACAAAACTCCTGCATATCATTGACACTTATCCTTCACTGTCCGTTTTCTTCAACATTTTAAAAAATATTACTTTTATATTTTGCCAGCTACTGTTATTCTAAAAATCTTTTTTTTTTTTTTTTTTTTTTAACCATTTTTTTAACTCTGTCATGAACGCATGCTTGAAAGCCACTGTGTTACAGAGGTGAATTCTTGATTCCTTTCAAACATTTAAGTTTTCTGCATTTGTCAAAATCTAGTGATAGCTTCTTAATTGTTTGGTCTATGTTGCACACTAATAACACAGTGACATATTCCTTCAGTTTCTTAAACCGACTGCTGTTTCACTTTTAAATATTAATGTGTATTCTGGTAATGTTCTCTAATGCATTTCAATTTCTTCTGTGTTATAAATTTTTCATGGAAGATATTCATATAGCAGCCCAAGTAAAACATCTTTTATCTGGTTATTGGGTACAGGGTGATCTGCTTTTTTCTTAGCGTGCAATTTCTGAAGAGCAATGTTCAATTTCTTTTCACTTCTCTTGAGAACTGCAGTCTTTATGAGGTACACACTATGCAGAGCATGATGTGTGCGGCTCACTTACCATCAGATATTTTTCTGATGTTGTAACATTGTTATTTTGTATTCTCAATGGAATGCAGGTTTCTTCCAAAGAAATGACATTGTGATAGCTACTAGCAGTTTATCCATGATGACTTTTCATTTTTTATATTTTGATTGTAATTATGATCTTCGGAAATTAAATTACTCTTATAATTTTTTCCTCTCTATTTTTTGGATCATAAAATTAGTTAACCTTCCAGCACACGCGCTTGGCAATTTTACATGAGTGCATGCGCATCGTATTTATTACGACATCTGTTATTTTAACATTTTGGGCACGAAAAACGACAGAAATGAGTGAATATTGATAATAAATTTGTTAAGAAATAAAATATTATTATTGCAAAATTAAAAAATAAAATCTTATTATTGCAAAATACAAATGATATTGCATTCAAATATAGGTAAAGGGTCTTATGTTAGTGAGATGGCAATGCAATGCAAAACTAAATTTGTCGTAAATTTTGTGCATATGAGCATGCTGGAAGGTTAAAAAAATTTTATGTGTATGCCGCATGACCTCCTTGTAAGAAATATTAAATTATATGCAATTTTTTCTGCATTTCATTTAAATTTATTTCCTCGGAGTTCATTAGAGATATATTTCTCATTCAGTTACTTCAGTTCTCACTTCACAGCAAAACAAAAATACATAATACCTCAAAATATCTTGATAAAAAATTGAAAAATATTGAAAAATATAAAACACTATCTAAAAACAATTTTATTTTTTTTTTAAATTTTTATTTTATTTTATTTTATTTTTTACATTTAAAATTACAGTTTCTATGTAAAAACAAGCAATTTGGCCAGCAGGCAAGAAGGCAGATTTTTCAGTGCCCAAAAAGTTTACTTTTGGTCCCATTCGGTCCTTTATTCTGTTCTTATGTACAGATATTGTGCAAAAACATCGTTAAATTGTATTTGATAGTGGTCAAAATGGATATTTTCATTGAAATATGATACCTGAAAATTTTTGCAATTACAATATTTCCTTTGCTTTGTGCAAGGAATAAAAAGGGGGCAATATAGTATTATATATTGTATGTTAAAAATGCATATTTTTATTTATTGAAGGTGTGGAAGATGTCAGAAGTTAATATCAGATCAAATTCATTCCTCTGCTTTTGGGAACAGGTCTAACTTTGGACATTTATTGGTTCATGAAAGAAGGAGCCCACTTGTACACTACAAATATTGTTCTTGATTTTCTGTATTAGATGTTTAGTTTGCATGTAATGGCACATCAGTTTTGTGAATGTCCGTAAGATGGTGAGAGTGTCTCCTGCATAGCCCAGTATTATTCTACGTGATTTCTTTTTATGGGGATTTTCGGAAGCTAGGTATTTACAAAGTATCCTGCAAATGTAGTGCAACTTAAAACTTTTATTATGCAGTTTTTTTTTTTTTTTTTTTTTTTTTTTCACAATTTCAGAAGATGTGGGTCGTAGGTTTGTGACAAATGCAAAGGTTTGCTTACAAGACATTGTGAAGCAAAAAGGTGGAGATATTGAACTATAAACTTTTTTCCCATGCTCAGACAATTAGCTGTGCATTAATTTTATGCATAGCTAACTGTCTGTAGTTAATAGTAACTGTAATTAATATTTTGATGACAATGTATAATAAACAAAAACCAATGGTATGACATTTTGTGCATGATCCTGCACATCTTTATTACCATGAGTCTTCATTTATAATTAAAAAAAATTGTAGTTACTATCTCTTCTTGCAAAATAGATATGTAAAAATTTTGATTTTCCAAATTTGATTTTTCATTCGTGATCTAATTTTTGTTAATTATAAACCAGCCATTCAAAAAAGCTTTCTCGAACTGTATACCTGCTGATCTGAGAATCATTTTAAATCATAGGCTATTTGAATATAATTTTCCTTTTTTTTTACCCTGCAGAAAATACTGCAATTCTTTTGTAATGACTTAAATTTTTATTTTCCATCGTAAAATGATTCATCATAATTTAGTTAAGGCTTTAATCACTGTGTACTTTTTTTTATCAAAATAGGTTCAAAAATTGCGTATTCTTTTAATTACATATTTCAAATCTACATATATTTTAGAGTTAAAATATACAAAAATTTTTTGTAAAAGAATTTTTTTTTCAGTATAGAATTAGATCATAGAAAAAGGTTGTCGGAATACTGAAATTGAAGAATAATGATATAAAAGGAAAATTTTGAAAATTAATATTGGTTAAATTATGATTTATTTTATAAAAAATAAAGGTAAAACATATATACTAGTGAAAATATTTGCATAATGTAATATTTTGCATATCAATTTTGCACCACTGTCAAACATTTTCAATAGAAACTGAATTTTCAGATTCATGACTATCTGCAGAGGAATCCGAGAAATTTTCAGCAGTTTCGCTATAACTATCTTCAATATAGTTGAAATCAGAGTCAGAACTACTATCAGTGTCAGAAATATCGTCAGGAATATAGGTTATATCACTCGCGAAACCCTTCCTGCCAGACATCTTTGAGCTCTGAAAAGCACGCGCAAAATGCTACATTACGTATTCTTGTATATTTGGCAGAAATGTGGACAACTAACGCCATCTGTTAGACCACATCTAAATAAATAATTAAACATCGCAGAAAAGCCGAAAGGAAACCTTGAACGGGGAAAGAGCGGGTTTGCACAGTTAAATAGACAGTAAAAATTCATCCCTGCGGAAATCATGGGATGGGCAAATTTTGCTACATTTACGTTGCCCGTGGAAATTGCGGGATGCGCAGCGAGAGGGTTAATTAGGAACATAAATTATTTTTTCATTGATAACATTGCCATAGATGCCAAAAATATCGGCTGTCATATACTTACAGAATTTTCAGAATGAGCCTCATATCATTTGTGGTACTTTAGTAACAGCCATTTTATTTCTTTTATATGTGTTAAATTAATGTTAATATTTTAATCATAAATTTATAGTTTTATTAAAAATTCCATATTCTCTAAGATTGGGATCAAAAAGATACTATAACATCAGATTAAGTCTTTTTTGTTTGATACAGCATTCTTTTTCCATTATTTAAAAATGATGCTTTGATTTATTACTTTGTTGAGCATAAATTGTAGTGTAATCTTCAGTGTTATTTAAATTAATTAGTTTTGCAACAAAGTATTTCAGTGGCAAAATTTATATTATATTAGTTGTAATGCTGATATTTTATCAGACAGTATGTAAGTTTATTTTTCATAAAATGTATATAAAATTTTAAATCAATGAAATATGTTTTGAAGCTTAGTTTTAGGGTAATATTAATGAATGTTTTTTTTTACATGTTTTTTAATGTCATTATAAATTTTTTTAATGTTTTGAAGAATATCTCTTCTATTTTTGTTGCCAGAGAATTCAGTAACATATTCTGTGAAATATTTAAGTGAGATTCCATAACTATATCTTATCTTGTACTATGTCATTAACATCATTGTTATTTTTAGAATCTTCATTGAGTATTATCATCAGAATTTAAGATCTCACCATTATTAGAGTTTTTCAGTAGATTTCAGATTTTGTCCTCAGTTTTCACTTCATTATCTTTGTTGAGTAGGGGGTAAAGTCACTAAACACTGGTAGTTCGATCCGAGGTTTGAATCCCACGAACGGGCTGGCTGCATAGGCATTTTTTGGGTTTTCCCCATGTGTAACGTGTATACGAGCCAGTTTTCCTTAGAAAGTCCTTTACGAAGGCATCCCTCCCCTTAGGCAGATAGCCCAAGTGTGCTTTGCCGTAATCTCAATAAACCAAAACTTTTGACAACAGCCCACTGTATTTCATGTTTAAGGTGCAGTAATGATTCACATTAATCAGTTCAGTATTTCTTTGTCATTGAAGCTTCAAATACAATTATATGTACCATTTTTTCTAAAGAAATGTCAAGTTATTTTGATTTATTTTAAATGAGAATAATACATTTTCAGAACATGGAGATCTATGAATAGGACATAACTCCAAGATAACAAAATATGTAATCACTTCCAAAAATTAATGTTCATATATCAATGTCCTTTCATTTAATTATAGACTAAACAAATTGTTTTCAAGTTTATGTTAGGATGTTTTATTGATTACTTTCTTCCTTATTTTATTCATGTATTGCATTAAAATTTTTAAAAAATTTTTTTGAAGATTAAGAAATGTCTCCATGTGAAAGAAAAAGACATATAAGTATCATATTGCTATGTGTTTGTCAAATTACAGGTAATAAATGTTGAGTGACCAATAAAATTTTAGACTTTTTTTTTCAGAATTTAATAGGAAACCAATTTACACGTGTTATTGTACCTAATCTAACCCCCTCATTACTTAGGAATACAATATACCCTTGCCAAATGGTAGATGTTACATCGTTAATACATTTCACAGTTGCCAAAATGGTTTTTCGAAAATTTAACTCTTTATGGGTATAATTCAGAATAAGGAAATATGTATTGTTTAAACAAACCTAAATATTGTGGTGTTAAAAAAAGTGTTGATTGAAAGGATTTTTATCATGCATAAATCTGTGATAGAATTACTTTTTTTAAAGCTGGTGATTTTTGCTGTGTGCAATAATTGATGCATCTCTTCGAAAGTTTTGTAAGTAAAGAGCACAGAAATTTTCAGTATCTCACATAAAGTGCTCTTTCTTCATTTGGGGTCAATCTCCACTGCAAATTCAGACAGCTTCTGTGCAGTTTTAACAATTTTTGTAAAGACACCTTTTTCATTTTCATTAGCACTGTTTTCACTGTTTGGTATTATAACATAATGCAGTGTAATTCTTTGACTTCCAGACCTGAAAATCCTTCACTGCCAGTTGCTTTTGCAGTTTGTTTTATTTCTTTGGCTGCATTTTTAGTCAATGGAAATCTTGTAAAATTTTTAATAACTTTAGAGCGGATTTGATTTCGGCAGGCATTCAGTGTAGATGAATAAATGTTAAACTGCATATGAATGAAATTCTAGTGTTGAACAAATTAAATAAAAACAAAAACAATTATGGTAATACATTTATGAAAAATCACATTCCACAAATTCACATTTGGCAAGGGTTTACTATACATTTTTTATTATGTATTTTTAAGTTCAAATTTGTTTTCCAGTTCCTAAGGAAAATTTATGTATTTTCTTTTCTTCTTGATTTATTATTACTATAACTATTATTTAATAGGCAGATGAGGCTTACTGCTTAGGTGCAGCAGCATCCCAAGAAAGTTATTTAAATCATAGAAAAATCATTTTAGTTGCCAAAGAAGTAAAAGCACAAGCTATTCACCCTGGTTATGGTTTTCTTTCTGAAAATGCTGAGTTTGCAGATTTATGTCAACAAGCAAATTTAGTTTTTATTGGTCCACCTGCTTCAGCAATACGAGACATGGGAATCAAAAGGTTGGTAACCTTTCAACAGAATGTTTATAACCATTTGTAGTTATATAGATTTTTATTTATTAATCTATTATTGCAAAATTGTGAGGCAAAATTTTCTTATACTTTCTTCTATAAAAGTTAATGAAATAAAATTACACTAAGCAAAGTAATTATTAAATGTAAAATTTCATCAGGAGTTACAAAAGTTATCTCAGATGCTATTGTGCACTGTTATGCAAAAGAGTAAACAAGACCAAATTAATTTATGACCCAAGTTAAACATAAGCTAATTAGAATTTTCTATATTTGAAAACATGTATCAATATTAGATTTAGAAGGGTTTATTAAATTAATTTAATTATTAACGTAGAGCACAACAATAAAATTTTTTTTTTAATTATAGGAAAGTAATAAATTTCTACTTCTAGAACTTTTTGAAATTGAAAATGCATTTTTATATTTCATTAAAACATTCTTTTAAAATTTTAATGAAAAGAATTTATTGTGTATTAGTGTTATATAGAATGATTAAAAAATATCTGTTAAAAATGTAAATGAGATAAGACAGAACCGAAATAACTAGATTTTTTAATGTGTGTGTAGAAATGACACCTGAAAGTGGTACAAGATGCTGTTGAGCTGTTGGTAAAAGCATTCTGATATGATATGAGGGATGCAGCCCGACCCTCCTGTCAGGCTTTCATCGCCCTATGGCCTTTTTCCGAGGCTGCCCCAGAGCAAGCTAGAAACAACAACACCTCTAACAAACAGACCTAAAGAACATAACTAAAAAACAAAATTAAAATTAAAATCCCTACTGCAAGCTTATCATGATTAATCTTCTCCATCATTTTCCTGGCAAATTTTTTCAGTCTTTTAAAATCATTTAAAATATCATATATATTAGAAACATCATTATTTTTAAACTCATTCTTGATATCAGTAAAATATTTACATGTTTCCACATAATGCTCCGCAGTGCCCGGTTCGTTAGAGTTATCACAGAGGTCAGACTCTTGTAATTTAAACATCTTAAAATAGAAAGGAAAATGGCCATGACCTGTAATGATTTGGTTAATGTCAATGTCTGAATAATATAAACCTTTTTTAAGTTTTAACAAATTTCATATAACCTTTATTTCGATCAGACCTTTCCCACTCCTCCCTCCCAAAGCATTTTGATTTAGATCACTGTTCCCATTTGGATTTCAAATGGTAGGCATCACAACACAAATCAGAAGCTTGCTGAAATGCTTTGTATGTGTGGGGTTGCACCATAGATAAAATGCATATATAGCACGAGGCATATATACATATATAAAAGCGGGAGAAATACCTTATATACTCCCATTTTTAAAGGGTGACTGGAGTTTTTAGGGGACCCAATCGCCAAATCCTGGGTGTGGAGAATTTTCATCCAACAGCCTTTTAGTTTGGGTGCCACTGTAGAGGCATTAGGTTAATTGAAAAAGCCGGAGAGATGAAAAATGAGCAAACGCCTTCGCCAGAAATCGAATCACGGACTCTGGAATACTGGCCCATCGTACAGAGCCATTGACATGACACCACGAAGGCATGCTAGAAAAGCAGGAGAAATACCTTATACTGTAACACATTTTTCTGTTACTTAGCAGCACACTGTACCATCTCAGCACATGATTTCCATGCAGACATTCCACTGCAAATCTACTCACAATGGTCCTCTCTAAATGGCTTTACATTTTTACCAGATATTTTTTAATCACCCTGTATGTGTGTTTTTGCATATCAAATTGGTATTAAAGTCATGTAAATCTAGCAAAAAACGTATGAGTAAAACAACTTTTTGAAATAGCATTCTATTTTATTGTGAAAAATAACTAGCATATAGAGTCTTATTTTCCTTGGTAACATAAACTAAGACCTAAAAGGCTGGGGGAGGAATTATCCTCAGGTCTTAGTTACAACAAAAGTCAGAAGAAGGGTGTAAAGAACCCTTTATTAAATCAATATAATTTCATAGTTGGCCTCACTTGTGCATACATAAAAGCCAACACTTCCAGCCTAACTGAAAAGGTAATGCTGAACTTAAAATTAAATGTAGTAAGTTTAGCCTAACTGCTCACAGGACAATTTAATGCCCAGGAAGGCTCTGGCTCATAAAATTTGCCATAAACAAACCTAATGGCTAGAAGTGTTCAATGCCTTAAAAAAAAAATTCTAATCACTAGAAATTCATGGTAGCAGTGTGGCCTTCAAGCAGGCATAACACTCTAAATTCAGCTTCCAAACCCTTTCTGTTTTTAGGAAAGCAGATGCTTAATAAATAAATATAAAACAATTCAAATTATCTTAAGATTTAAATCAATTTCTTATTCATATTTTTAGTACTTCAAAATCTATTATGTCTGAAGCTGGTGTGCCTGTTATAAAAGGATATCATGGAGAGGATCAGTCCGATTCTCGTTTGAAGAATGAAGCCAAAAATATTGGATTTCCTGTAATGCTGAAGGCAGTTAGAGGTGGTGGTGGAAAGGTATGAATATGAGAATCAGAATATAGTTATGTAATATGTATTTTTCTCCTAAATACTTTTAAACATTTTATTAGTAACTCTGAATGTATTAAGCCTCAAGTAAAGTATGAATTTTGTAGAAAATAATACAGTCAAAAGTTTTTAATCCGGACCTCAAACCTACAAACTTTCTGTGCATGCGCAAACATATAATGCCTTTACGCATGTAGAGTTGCGCGCCTCCAACCTGCACGCAACCAAGAGGTGACTGTTGAAACTGGAAAATAGACAGAGTCTTGCTAAGGGTTTAAGTCCTTTTTTATTCAACTTAAGAAATTACAATTGCGTGCTCTTGACGCTCACAAACTACGCCGACCCGGCGGTAAAATAAAAATAAGAACCTGAAAAGAAAATAATAACAAGACTCTAACTACGAGGCTCTCTAAAAGTAACTAACCTCACTGCGTTTTACAATACCGCTGCAAATTCAGCAAACTTTGAATATCACGTTGAACGATTAACAGTTCTCCAAGGCAAGCACACAGGCCGAAATGCTGAATTCAATTTCTGGCTAACTACCTCCGCGCTTGTGAAGTAAGAACAGCACACCTCGAACTCGTTTCCATTCTATTTAACTCAGAATACTTCCGCTGATTATTTGAATCCTTGCGCGTTCTACTAAAATTTTCATACTCTGGCATTGGCAGTTCCAGGGGAAAGTAAGGCTTGACAGGAAAGATAGTTTAAACTTAAAATAAATGTTAGTTAAAATAAATATAAACCCTACACAACATGCTCACAATACATTTACGCATGCGCATATGCATTTACGCATGCGCATAATACGTTTACGCATACGCATTTAATGTATAATGGACGGTATAAGCTAGACTAAAATTATCTAATTACCTACTTGAGTTAATGTTGCAGATTGCGTTGTTCCTTAATCTTCTAATTGGATCTGTCTTATTATTTTTTGCAGACTGTTAGAGCAATTTTATAAAGGTAAGTTTGAACTTTCGATTATGTCAAAAAGAATTTCCGATTCTGGAGCTGCCAAAGGATCTACAAACCGAAAGCATGTTTCGATGCCCATCAAACAAAAAGTGGAATAGCTGCAAAAAAAATGGATAAAGGCATATCCTTTGTTTCTCTAACCATTCAGAAATCTGTTTATCAATTTCACGCTGCTCTGCGGGGGGGGGGGGGAGAGAACGTTGCGGCGCGCAATGAACTGGAAGTTGATCTGTCAGCACTATTCTTATCTTCAGGGCAGATGTTTTTATTTTATTCGGCTTATAATTCCTTACTAAATGTAGTATTTCATCTGGACGTATTCCGAATTTGATATGATTTAAATCAAATTCTTCGTCATTATAAATATCACGAATACACATCAAATAGTTTTCTGCTTGTAATTTTCTAATTTCGACTATGTGTAATGAATGCTTTACGCATGCACACGCTGAAAGAAATGTTTGATAAAGTAAACAAATAAATATTAAGCTCCTTTTTTTTGTAATTTTGATACCCTTTAGATCATAATTGCTCTTTATTTCATAAATTGCAGTTTCATATTTTTAATTTTATAATTTCTGCATGCCATCTTACCAGATTTAAACTGATGATCTATAATCCGGAATCGCCGAAGTCCCGACGAGTCCGGATTAAAGACTTTTGACTGTATTAAGCAAATTTTTATGGATTTGCAGTTTCTGATTTTATTTAAGCATATTTAATATTCATATGTTTCTGAGTTTTTCATTGATATGTATGCATATACTATTTCTATATTAGTAAAACAAGCTGCATGTATTTTTAACAGAAATTTGTATCATGCCAGTAATTTGCAATAACTGTTTTAGTTTTACATTACCTTTCTGATTGCAAATATATGATGATGATTTTTGCATAACATTATATTTAAACAATTGCATAGTGGTTTTTTAAATTGATATTGACTCCAGTTTTCGTTCAACTTCCTGGGTCAGATGGGTTTAAATGTTGTATGCAAGCCACATCAGTAAAAATAACTAACTTGAAGAAGGAAGTGTTAAATTATAGATAACGTTAAAGGTTGGCAGTAAAATGTGGTAGAAAAGATACCACGACAAATTTAGAACTTAATTGTATAGTTTGCATGCATTTTTCAGTTATAGGCTTGTATTTAATAGCAATTTTTATAGTAATACGTTATAATTCTCTTTTGTGTTTTTTTAACTAGCAGAGTTGCCAACTCTCCCGATTTAGGCGGGAGCCTCCCGATTTTCGACCGCTCTCCCGCCAACCCGTTTTACAATATATTTCTCCCGACTTTTTCTTATTCTTAAAATTTCTCACGATTTTTATGGAACTTGGCTTAATACTTTGTTATATAAACAAAAACCAAAAAAAAAAAAAAAAAAAAAGTGATATTGGCAGTCTGAAAGCAATTGAATTTTCTCTAAGTTATATCTAAAACAAAACTTTGCGAATTAGATAACTTTTTTGCTTTGTAAGTGAGAGCTTAGCATATACATATCCAGAAACGTCGTTCTCCAGTTCTCCAAAGCGAACATCCTGCTCCACTACGTGTCATCTGGCATATATTAATTAGCCAATGAGGACAAAGCAAGCTGTTATTTGGATGTTCTTTAGTTATTTTGGTCATTTTGTCCTGAGTTGTTTGAGTATACGTGCCTTAGGGAAATAGTTTTAGAAATTATCATCTTTTGTTATGTCTGCCAGAAAGGTGAAATACTTGTGTACGTTTCAAAAATCGTACACAGTTGACTTTCCTTCCATTATTTCCTCAAGGAAATGTAATAAATTTGTGATGTGTACTGCCTGTCGTTGCGATTTTTCGATTTCGCATGGTGGAAGGACGGACGTTCTCAAACATGTGCGTACACAAAAAACACAAGGACAACATGAGTTGTGTTGAAAAAAATGAAAAGTAAAATTTTTCTTTGGAAACAGAGGACCAAAAAGTTGCTAATGCAGAATGTCTGCTGATGGAATTTTAAAATATAGTGAGCTGTCTAGAATTATGTTGGCCATCTTGACAGTTCCCCATAATAATGCAGAGTGTGAGAAAATTTTCAGTATTGTTGCGAAAACGAGGACTAAATTTAGATCTAATGTTAGTGATGACACATTAGAAAAGCTTTTTATTAGCGAAAGCAGGCCTACGTGGCAATTACTACGAACAAAATTATGAAGTTTCTTTCTTAAAGAAAGGAAAATCTGCCACTGTTTATAACATTTGTACAAAAACTGATTAAAGTGGTTTTCTTTTTTCTTAATCGATGCAAGTAATAAAAATGTTTTTTATGTGTAAGGTATTTTTGTGTTGCTTGCATTTAAGAATTAGTTACTATTTAAAGTTAATTCATTATTAAAAACTATATTTTCATCATTTAAAAAGTCTTTTTAACATTGTGAAAAATCTCCCGATTTCTTAAAAAAATCTCCTGATTTTTTAGTGTCATAGGTTGGCAAGTATGAACTAGTAAAGTTGTTTCGTTTCCTTACATTATTTTTGGTATTTTCTTATTCTCTCAACCCCCAAGGATATTTTTGAGCATACAAGTGATGGTACCCAGCCACACATGCATGTAGCACACATGTGTTTGAGTACAAATTGGTTCACTTTTTCTGCTTAACTATCATTTTGATGATGAGTTTTCTTTTCTTTCTTACTTTTTTTTTTTTTGAATCAAAAGATGCCAGTACATTGATAGTTCACAGTGTTATCAATGGATGTCAAGTAACCAACAAATATTATTTTTTTTATTCTTAATAGAATTTTTCTAAGTTGTTTTTTCTCATGAAATCTCTTCTTTCCTACAAGATATTTTTTTTAATCATTATTCATGAACGAAAGGTACCTATGAACCATAAACGTAACCAAAAAAGTGTTTTTTTCAACAAGGTACAAATTTGCCAATCAGTAGACAACTTTTTTTGGAGGTATGGATAGTCAAAACATACCTTCTTTCATCTTTTTTCTTAATGAAATCAGATCTAAAATGTATTTTAATATGATATTGCAATTGGTTGCATTTGGATAAAATACTGTTTCTTTTTCTGGTAAATGTAGTCTTCTAATGGATATAATTTCTGTTTATTTTTCCTTTCTTTTTGAAGTTTAAAATTCAGCCTTTTTTTTTATATATATATTAATCAAATGTAGAAATTTTCTACTATGATTTAAATATTTAAATAAAGTTTTAAGTATTTTATAGGGTATGCGAATTGTTTTATCAGAAAATGAATTTGATGCTGCCTTGGAATCTGCAAGAAGGGAAGCTTTGAAATCATTTGGTGATGATACGATGCTCGTGGAGCAATTTGTTCAAAGACCAAGGTGTGTTTGACCTTTTAAATAATGCATTAATGTATGCTAAGTATTATAATTCCATGACTTGCATATTGTAAAAATCAAAAGTATTTCAGTTTGATGTCTTTGATAATATAATATTAAAAAAAAAAAAAAATCTGAAAGGTTTAAGATTTTAAATTACGTCTAAAGGGGCATTTTTTTAACATTTTGTGTGTTACCTTTATTTATTAAATATCATGTTCTTTGCATTTAAACCATAAAATTCAGTTCAATAGCAATGTTGCAAAGTAATTTTAAAATGAGCATATCTTTAGAATTTCCGATACACAGTTTCGCGCGCTGGAGAAAAAAAAGCCCCTCCCTGTAGAGTGTTGCCATTGCTCGCTTTGAAATCCTTCAGTTTGTTAATCAAAAATTCGTTAAAGGTTTACAAAATATGAAATCGATAATAAAACAAATTCCAAATATCAAATTTGGTCTTTCACATGCCCATATTCGTAGGAGGATTACGTCATTCAAAATTCGATGGCTCTATGTACCATTGTTTTATCACAATGCGCGAAATATACATACATTTATGCAGATTTTTCATTATTTAATTTCTTCAAATATAATGCAGGACTCTAACATTTGGTGGCAATTAGTGATTCAGGGCAAAATCACAAAACAAAAACAATAGTCCTTCAGGGACAAAGCCCTTCGGAACCAGAAACTTAAAATATATATATATATATATATATATATATATATATTGTAATTTAAAGTACATTAAATAGTGTTAATAATGTTTAATCATTGAGCCCTTGCATATATATTTAATATGTGATGATTAAATTTTGTTTAAAATATTTTTTATTCTATATAAAAATATTCATTTTGAATATGCTCACCACATAAGTTATATATGCTATGTGGTATCTAAGTATTATCTTATTTTAACATAAATCAGATAAAAAAAAATATATAAATTTCATTTTTCTACTTCTATTTCTGTTTGTTTTTATTTGTAATTTATTTTAATATCCTAAAATATATAATTTGAGTGTGTTTTACTGCTCGGCCACTGGTGGGCCTCAATGTTAAGAGTTGGTATACATTTTTCTGTTTTTGTTTTTGATTAGTTCAAAGGGGCTTTGACCCTGAAGGACTATTGTTTTCGTTCTGCGATTTTGCGTTGAATCACTATAAATGTCCATTTCACTTTTCAAACTGTTGCCACCAAATGTTAGAGTCCTGCATTATATTTGAAGAAATTAAATAATGAAAAATCTGCATAAATGTATGCATATTTCTCGTATTGTGATAAAACAACAGCACGTAGAGCCATCTAGTTTTGAATGACGTAATCCTCCTATGAATATGGGCATGTGGAAGACCAAATTTGAAATTTGTTTTATTAACCATTTCATATTTTGTTAAACTTTAACGAATTTTTCGGTAACAAACTCAATGATTTAAAAGCGAGCAATGGCAACACTGTACGGCGGGGAAAAAACACCTTTCTATCTCCAGTGGGCGTGGAACTAAGTATTGGAAATTCTAAAATTCTAAAGATATGCTCATTTTAAAATTATTTTGAAAAATTGCTACTGAACTGAATTTTATGGTTTAAGTGCAAAGAACATATTTAATAAATAAAGATAACACACAAAACTTTAAAAAAAATGCCCCTTTGGACGTAATTAAAAATCTGAAACCTTTCAGATATTTTTAATGCATTCTCTTCCCCCCCAGACATGTTGAAGTGCAGATATTTGGTGATACACATGGAAACTATGTATATTTATTTGAAAGAGACTGCAGTGTACAAAGAAGGCATCAAAAAATTATTGAAGAAGCACCTGCTGTAAGTGCTTGCTGGATTATATCTGTTTTGTTTTTAATATTAAATTTATAACTAATAATGAGAATAAAAGTATATATGAAAAACTGTGATTAAGATGTGTAATAATTTTTAATTGTTATCTTTGCTGCATACCTTTTTATATTCTTACATGCATATGTTTCTATTAATAGAGTTTGAATATGTTTACATAAATTTAATTTATATATTTATGTTTTGAACTCTTTCTTTTTGTGAAACATGCTTAATCTGAATTTAGGAGCATATTCCTGCTTCTTATTCATTTTCAACAGTTTTTTTGATTGCATATCTGCCAGCTTATGCAAATCTGAAAATGCCCTATTTGTTTGAAAAATAGGAGATATAAAAAATGAAATAATAATAAACATTTAATGTTACACTTTAGTGCTAAAGCTTCTAGATTTTAGTAATAATAGCATGTATGTTTTGTTTGTTTAACTGCATTTCATCTGAATGTTTCAAATATATTTTTAATGTATATAAGTAATTAATAATATATTGTAAATTTCCATTGTTCTTATATCCTGCAGAGTTTAATTTGGAATTTTATTTATGATTTGTAATTAATAAGTAAAATTAATTTTATAATGAAGTTTTTTATGATCATCATTATGATTTATTTTTACAATAACTTATGTTTGTCAATAAGGAATATATTGGAGTGGATATTCTAACACATTAACTATTACTTGATTTAAAACATTACTTTCTGGCTTGTAATGAAACTATCTGCACTTAAAAAAAGTACTATGCATAAATATCTGCCGCTGCCATCAACAAAGAATCAAAGTTGTAATAATATGATTTTCGGTGTCAGGAGATAATATATACAGTAATTCATAGAAATTAAACATTCAGTACATAAAAAATACACTTTTTTTCATAAATTTTAATAATATTTAAAATTTTAGATTAAATGTGTAAGAAAAATTTTGCATAAAATCTCCATTAATTTGATATTTTTAAATTTTTTTAATTATTTTTTTTATTTTGAATATTATAACTATATTGGGTTTCATCTGGAATTTTCAATTCTCACTTTGCTAATATGCATTTGTACTAAATCAAGCTTGTAAATTATGCCATTTGGTAAAATCAGTCATTCCATCTTCTAAAGCCTGGCTTGGATGAGCAGACAAGACAGTCATTGGGTGAAGCTGCAGTTAGAGCTGCAAGAGCTGTTAAATATGTTGGAGCTGGTATGTAATAATCACATTCTCTCCTAATCCTTTTAACTTCTATAGTAATGCAAGCATTAGCTATCACCAAATTTTGTATAAGTATTTAAGTATTGTTTATGTAATAACCCTTTTAAAAATCATTCAAATTTACAATTATTTCACCTGGACAATGTCAACTTTTGAATATCCCTAGTAAAAAAAAAAAAAAAAAAAAAGTATATATTGCTTTTCTCCTTTTCATGAAAAGTATGTTTTTATTTGGACAATCTTCATTTATTAACACAGTTGTTTGTTTAGGTACTGTTGAATTCATTATGGATGAAAATAAGAAATTTTATTTTATGGAAATGAATACTCGTCTTCAAGTAGAGCATCCAGTAACCGAAATGATAACTGGTACCGATTTAGTTGAATGGCAGTTACGGGTCTGTGTTTTTTTCTTGAAACTATTCTCTTTCTTTAAACTATTTTCTTGATTTTTCTAATTGAATATATTTTTAAATGTACAATTGAACATCATGATTATTAATAATATTTTAGAAAACATAAAATTCTAATGTAAACCTGCAAACAGATCTGCTGCTATTCTTGTGGAGTGAAAAAGAAAAGCATTTTAGAATTAATGGTTGTTTTTTAGTGTTTTAAATTAAATTGGAAATCTATGTTTCACTAAATTATTCACTTCGTTATTTACATAACTCTTGACAAAAAATATAGCACAAATCTGCTATTTTTCATGAACAGATACTATGTGATAATGACTAGCACAAAATTAATATATAAAATACATGCATTAAGATTTAGATTTGTTTGATATAATTTTTTTAAATAATATCTGTTTGAATTTGTATTTTATTTTGTTTTGATAAATTTTATAACTGCATTATATGACACCCAATCTGTACATGGTGTTAAAGAAACGCAATAATTTTATTTTAATTAAATAATTTTTTGAATAAAATAAAATAACTAAAATTTATACCTCTGAGATTTTGTGAGTTTTCTGTTACTCCATCATTTCCTTATTCTACTTTTTGCTACTTAAAAAAAAAAAAAAAATTCATACAGTCAAAAGTCGCTAATGCGGACACCCATAATCCGGACCTCAAAGCTGCAAACTTTCTGCGCATGCGTCAACGCATTATGCATTCACGCGTGTGCGCATGCGCATAATATGTTTACGCATGCGAGTTTAATGTATAACGGACGGTATAAGCTAAGCTAAACTTATCTAATTATCTATTTCAGTTAATGTTGCAGATTGTGTTGTTCCTTAATGTTTGGTTTGGATCCAGCTTATTATTTTTTGCAGCCTGTTAGAGCAATTTTATAAAAGTAAGCTTGAACTTTCGATTCTATCAAATATAATTTCTGATGCTGGAGCTACCAAAGGATCTGCAAAGCGAAAGTATGTTTCGATGTCCATCAAACAAAAAGTGGAATTGCTGCAAAAAAAAATGGATAAAGGCATATCCTTTGTTTCTCTAACCATTCAGAAATCTGTTTATCAATTTCACGCTGCTCTGCCGGGGGGGGGACATCGCGGTGCGCAATGAACTGGAAGTTGATCTGTCAGCACTATTCTTATCTTCAGGGCAGATGTTTTTATTTTATTCAGCTTATAATTCCTTACTAAATGTAGTATTTCATCTGGATGTATTCCACCTTTGATATGATTTAAATCAAATTCCTCGTCATTATAAATATCACGAGTACACATCAAATAATTTTCTGGTTGCAATTTTCTAATTTCGACTATGCGTAATGTATGGTTTACGCATGCGCGCGTTAAAAGAAATGTTTAATAAAGTAAACAAATAAATGTTAGGCTTTTTTTTTTTTTGTAAATTTTGATACCCTTTAGATCATAATTGCTCTTTTGCTCTTTATTTCATAAATTACAGTTTAATATTTTTAATTTTATAATTTCTGCATGCCGTCTTACCAGATTTAAACTGATGATCTATAATCCGGAAAAATCAATAATCCGGAATCGCCGAAGTCCCAACGAGTCCGGATTAAAGACTTTTGACTGTATATCATAAAATTCATATATTTTAGTAACATGAATGTATTATAAAATTCATATATGTTAGGAAAATGAGTATATTAAAAGTAAGCTGTAGTAAAAATTACTAATTTATTTATGCTGAAATTAAAAGTTGGTAACTAGTAATCCTGCAGTCATAGCACATCAGTGCATATGCACCCAATTTTCAGTGCTAGTAGCTGGTATATTCGTGTGTTTCATTAATTGCTCTGTTTAATATTTCAATGATCTGTGATTAGGATTCTAAGTCAAATAACATCTTCTGTATTAAATGTGAATTACGAGTAAGAAAATAAAAATTTATAAGTTGTGTCGAGACAAAGCAAACGGTGCTAAGTAGCATGTTTACAACAAGAGAGCTGAAGCTAAAGTGTGCAGTTATCGAGTATGGACCCTAACCAAGAGAACGTTTTGGTTTAGGTTAGAAAGGTTTCAGTTCTCAAATTTTTAATTCAAGTTCCACATTAGCTACTTCCTCAGAATTCCGCAAGCCAGTCCATGATCAAGAATGTGAGATGAACTGATATACGGGTTGTCTCAAAAAAATCTACTGACCCTTTAACTGTCGCTAATATGCTGCCGGTTTTGAATTGCAGGTGTAATTAATTTGTCACAGCATGGCAGGAAATCAACTTAGCTTGGAAGAGAGGAAGTTTGTCCTAAAATGTTATTGGAAGACCAAAAATGGCACTGAAGTGCAAAGACGATACAGAAGGGAATTTGCAAAACTGCCACCAATGCAGCAGACCAGTGCTTGCATTAGAAACAAGTTTGAAGAAGATGGAACTGTCCAGAACTTCAACAAGAAACGTCTGGACGACCACGGACATCCACAAGCTCTGGAAAAGAAGAACAGATGCAGGAAACTCTCCTTTGATCACCACAGAAATCTCTTCAACAAACTGCTCAGGTAACCCACATCTCAAAAGATAGTGTCTGTCGAATTATGAAGCTTCTGCACTGGAAATGTTACATTCCAACACTAATCTATGCTGTCAACGAAGACATTCCTGACCAGAGAGTTCAATTTTGTGAATGTTACCTTGCAAAATGTGCATAAGATGCAGGGTTTCCACACAAAGTTATGTGGAGCAATGAGGCATCCTTTAAATTAAATGGCTCCATTAATTTCCATAATTGTACATACTGGGGCCCTGTAAATCCTTATGTAACGCTTGAACACCATGTTAACTTACTAAGACTAACAGTGTGGTGTGGGATATCCACATTGGACATCATAGAACCATTTTTTTTAACAGAACGGTCACTGGTGAGAGTTACCTGAACTTGCTTCAGGAGTTTGTTGGTTCACAAATTTCAGAGATGTTTGGTGATGACGACGAGATTTACATTCAGCAAGATATAGCACCTCTCCACTATCATCGCGATATATGAGCTCACTTCGATGCAGCTTTTCCAGACACATGGATTTGACGAAGCGGTACCACTCAATACCCTGCGCAGTCCCCAGACCTCATGCGTATGGACTTCTTTTTGTGGGTATATCTCAAAGTTTGTCGCACCAAACCAAGAACAACTGATGCATCGAAATTGGAAGTTGAAAGACAATGTTGCGATATTCCTAATGGCTTGTTTCATGACGTTTGCACCCTTGGTGACCCTGTTTCATGACCCTTGGTGCACGTTATCAGCATTGTCTGGACAATGATGGTCATCAATTTGAACATTCACAAACATGATTCCTCAATTATATTTGTCTTATGTATTCAAAGCCATTCCATTTCACACCATCTTCAGAAATAAAGTTTTTCTCGTCATTTGAAGTGTGAATAAATTTTTTTGAGACACTCTGTAGAAATAATGCAATCCAGAAAACTTTTTATGGTTTTTTAGAATAAAGAGGGAGAATTAAGAATTGTTGCTAATTTAAATTATAATTTTGATTTGCATATTTTTTATTTTACATATGTTATCTTACACTTGCACATTTACTCATATATTTTTCTCTCTTTTTCTACTAATTTTATTATATGAAAACAGAGAAGGGAAAATTATGTGAGTAATTTAATTTGGAAAGAACATAATGAAAAGTATTCATGCATGAACTGCTATTAATTATCAGAATATTGTTGCATGCGTGTGGGTTTGAAATAGATTTAATGCACACAGCTCCAATGATAGGTTGATAAATTTTATTTGATCAAAATAAACACTTCAGTGATCTAGAACTCTCCACAAAATAGTCACACAACTCTTCATCAACTTCAGACGTACAACAATATCACAGAGTACAGTCAGTAGTTACACTTCAAACTACTAAGAATGTTAAACACAATACAAAGCACAACTAAAGTATTGATCTAAAGAGATCCTTGTATTGATCTAAAGAGAGCTGATATCTCAGTACACTGAATTCATGCTGAGCTAGCAACAACTGAGAGCAAATGCTCTCTATGGCCTTTATATAGTTTTCACTCGGCTGCAAAGATATTTCTAGTACTTTCTGCTTCTCGAGATTACTGGAAGGTTACAGCTAATATAGTGATCAATTAGATTTATTCAATTACAATACTTATTGCGGGGTACAGAGATAGGGCCCAAATGGTTGGCAAGTTTGGCAACTTTGGCGATAAAAATAGTTGCCAAAACCATTGCCAGCTTGACAATATCTCGTCAAATTAGTGAGATACCCATTTATTCAATGTTAAATAGACTTGCCCGTGTATTCTTAACTTTTCTGGCATAGATTGTGTCTAGATTTTCATGTTACATTACAAAGAAAATTTTAACAATTTCACATATAACTGCAATAAAATCACCTTTCTAAATACAAAATTCATAATATTGCATTCTTCCCAAGGACTGCACATCCTGGCAGAACAATCCGTGGACAGGAAGCCATAAAACTAAGGCAAATCTATGCAATACTTAAACAATAATTTCAATAAATAATATAAAACCAATCAAATGCTAAATAAATAAGTGAGGGCACAGATTTACAAATTTAGAAAGAAATAAAGTCATGGTCTTAGTGTACTATACACATTATGGAGAATTCCTACTATGGCCATAGTAAGAGGCTAGACTCTTGTAATGAACGACTTTAGGCTTAGAATTTGGTGATTTACAGATCCAAAGTACGATGTCTTTCACCCTGTTTAGGACTGCATAATTACCATCCCAAGGTGCCTATAGCTTAGGAGAGAGTCTTTTCAGTCAAATCGGATTCCACAACCACACCTTTTCACCTTCCTTGTATTGATCTCCTGTAGCTCTCGTATCGGGTCTTCATCTTTTCTGTTGCCAAGTTGATTTGCTTTTGTGTAAAACTGTGCATTGCTTCAAAATGTGCCTGTTAGTTTTGGATATACTCCTGAAGGCCATGAACATGAACATGATAACATCGCTTTCTTGCATGTCCTTTAGAAGTTTCTTTACCTCTTCCTGTTTCGCAATCAATAGACATGTTGGATATTGCTTGATTGGTGGATGATTCTCGGTGTCGATTTTATGCATTTTCAAACTGGTTTGATCTATATCAAAAGGCAAGCAGAAAAAAAAAAAAAAAAAAAAAAAAAAAAACATCTTAATTCTTGAGTAACATGTTCAGCAGCACTCATCACTTAGTTGTACATTCTCCAAAAACTCCAATATTAAGTTCAACGAAGACACGGATTCTGGATAATTACTGTTTCATTAAACCTTGGTCACTGGAGTACATGCTGCAACCACTTTATTTTTCCTAATTCTTTTTGCTTTATCACTGACATTGGCAACTATCACAAGGATAACTATCTTCAATAAATCAACGAGTTCCAAGGCTACTAGTACTCCTCGCAGCGTGTTACAGTTCTTAGGACATTCCAATACACTGTACCAGAAATTTTTGTTTTGGGCTATAGATCCAGGAAATAAAAATTCTGTTCTTGCTATTGCAGTACCACTGTGATATTGTCTTGAGCTATGATTTGGTGGCAGATTTAACTTCTTCATCTTTAATTCCAAATAGTGTTATGTCAGAGGTAGAATGCAGTTTGTTCCTTTGAAAGTCCAAGGATGCAAGGGCTGCATTGATATGTCCTGCAATGAAGAGTCCATTAGTGCTGCCATGCATTAACTGCTTGCGCTAAAAAGATGTGCCACGCACAACGAGATGTTTTTGTCTCAAACCGCGAGCGACGTGAACACCACGTCGATAGGCATTTATTGCCAAAATGAAAATAACGTAGTGCACATGTCGCCTAACAACAAGATTGTTTATTTCTCGAGTTACAGCTCTGGATTGCACTCGCAGACGCGAAGCGGCGTAAGTGAGACACTTTACCGCTTGTTATATTGTAGAGCACAGCACCGCAACCGTGTAGTTTAGTCGTAGCACAAGTAGTTAAAGAAATCTGCAGCGCTTTCAAATGGGGCTTCTCTTTATATGGGAACCTCTTCCTTATTTCTCTCTGTCTTGCTGGGTGCAGTTTTAGCTTCCGTTTTCTCAGGTATTCTGCAATTCTTTCAAACGTGGCCTTTAGCACCACAATTCCAGCGCATTAGGGTTGGTTTCTTGTCACTCCTTTTCTACATCAAGGCATTGGCATGTCTAGTCAAATCGTCTAGACGAGCAGCCGTTTGATCCACTGGTTCCTGGACTTGAACAGTTCTGATTGCGTGGTAGTCCGTATGAATTGCTTGCTGGACTGCCTCAAATTTCATTGTGTACACTAGAGCACTTTTTTAATTCTTGATATCTGCCATTCACAGAGCTTTCTGTATTTCAGGATCCCGAATGTCATCGCTGAAGTACTGCAAGTACAGGATTTCCCTTGTTTCTATTAGGCATTTTGAAAAGGGAAGATGAGACAGCCTCTCAAAATCTATGGCAAGCTCCTGGAGTGTTTCTGTGTGCTTCTGTTGAGGGGATTTTAGTTGAAGCCTGCTATAATCTTTTAAATACTTCTCCCCAAAGCATAGCTCCAACATGCCGGATAGAGCTTCAAAGTCTAGCCTCTGGTTTTCGGGAAGAGTTTGAAGGTTATCTGCTGTCAAAGAATTGTCAAGAGAACATGCCTTAGTTAGGGAATTCCATCCATTCATGTCTGCCACTATTGAAAATTGTGTCATATATACTTGCCAGGGGGTTTTTCCATCATATATGGATATCTTCAGAGAAGTACAAGAATAAAAATTTAAAACCATCAGAATTGCTTCTTGCTGTCGCTGTGCTTTTCTTTAAGGTGTCAACTTCTTTGGCAACAGCAGAAACTTTCTGTTTGATTTGTTCTGTGACAGAAAAAAATCTTTCTTCAGTTTCTATTTTTGACTGTGCCTATTCTGCCTCCCATAACCTCAGATTTGTTTTCTATTATGCAGGTAATGTCTCTTTTCATTTCTTCTTGACCTCCATTATTCTTTTCTTGAACAGCTTCCATTCTTCTTAAGCAGCTCTAATCTTTTCTTGAACAGCTTCCATCTTTTCTCGGAATGCAGCAAAAGCAGTCACAAGCTGACTTAGTTGCTTCACCATCACTTGTCACCAACATTCAATCCCATGTCTGACACCAAAAAGTTTTGCATGCATACGGGTTCATAATAGATTGAGTGCACACAGCTCTGATTATAGGTTGCTAAAATTTATTTTATCAAAAGAAACTCTTCAGAAGTCTGGAACTCTCCATGGAAATAGTCGTACAACTCTTCACAATATCACAGAGTACAGTCTTGTCTCTCTAGATTTTCATGTTATATTACACAGAGAAGTACAGCAATTTGACATATAATTGCACTAAAATCATCTGTCTATGTACAAAATTCGTAACAATGTTATTTATTTAAAAGGAATCTACATTCCAATAAAAATGCATGAAACCTACATTCCAATAAAAATACATACTATTATTAATATTACCAATACCTAATAAAATTATCTTTATTTCTACTTTCTGTATTTTGAATCTCACCTTTTGTTATTGTTGTCCACTGCTACTCCATAGTAAATCCTTTAATGCTACTGGAACTACTGTACAAAACTTCTGCAGCTAGTAAAGTCATCACCATTATTACCTGTCTTGCCACATGCAGTGATCTTCAGAACTATCATGAAGATTAGGTATCTCTATTTTCTTGAAGCTCTTATTGCTTTATCATTTGAGCTTCTGCACCTGAAATCCATGAGCAAATCAATTAGTTTAATAAGATAAGAATTATCATTACGTGGACAAATCCATTTTAAAATTTACCTTGAGGAAGGAGAAAATAACATGAATACTTAAAAGTGTTCAGAACCTTATGCTAAAATGCTAAAAATTGGAAAAATTCTGGGATTAATATATAACAAAATCTAAAATACTGGAAGAACCTCTGATACCAAAATGTAAATGCTATTAGAATTAATGACATGAAAGAAATTATTACCAACATTTACTTTGGAATGTATTTCAATATAACAGACCTCAGCTTAACCCTTTAACTGTGGAGTTATTTTGATGATTTGGGTACACAAATTGTCAAATTTTTTTATTGGAAAAATCAAATGTTTAGTACAAAATAAAATATACTTAAGTAGTTAAAAATTGATATTTTGAAGTATATGGGTTAAATTTTTTAAGTTTTGTAGCCACTACGTATTTGCTTGAGGTGGCTGCCACTCAACATGGCGTTGTAAGTTCGCTTCTAGTGGAGCATTATTTTCTAAAAATGAAAGAAAATGAATTATTTTCTAAAAATAATAAATGAAAAAAATAAATAAAAGTGAATACGTATAGTAGTTCAGGATTCAGTCTTTGTGGTACAACTGGAACACTTTTCCAAGCACAAACCAACTCCACAATCACTACACCAGAACCGTGCTTCCTTCCTTATCTTTTTTCCCATTTTATCCTTTTTCAAACAACACACTTTGCACTCTTGTAGGCTCACGTTCACAGATAGAAGATACAGGAAATAAAATGTCGTTCAGTAAGACGGGCAGGTTTCTATTTAGGTGGTATGCCAACATTCTTTTGTCAAGCTGCATCATCATATTTATGTAAAAGCTCTTCTACAACTTGATTCGAAATTCTAAAAATGTAAACGTTTCCCAAATACATTTTAGGAGTAAATAGTTCCAAAGTACCTTGTCTAGTAAAATGTAAAAATATCTTTCATAATATTTTCTGATGTTTTCGGATTTTTGGATGAAAGATATTTCCTATCACAGCGATCTACACCACCCATAGTTAGACTGTAGTCAGAACAAGCTTCGGCTTGAGTATATCTTCATTTGTTTTTTTTTTTTTTTTTTTTTTTTTTTTTGAGCTGACCATGGAAATACATGAATACTGCACATCAGACACGCATCTTTCATCTTCGTTGAGAATCTAATCATCTATATAACGTTTCAAAGAACTGGACGCCATTTACACAAAAAGATCCCTTGCACTTTGAACAAAGAACTATAACCTTGACCTTTGAAATCTTCATAAAGTGCTGTCATCTATTAATTGACGCACATTAACTTTTCCCGAGATACTGTCGGGTTTGACAAAGAAAATGAAGCCGAAAAACGTCTCCCGATATATATTCGGTATAACAATACGATGCACTCAAAAAAAAAAATTACCCCGAGTGATACTCGGGCGTGACATTTTCGAACACCAGTGCTGTGCCCGAGATTAACTCGGGCATGACAGTTAAAAGGTTAATGCTATTATGCCTCAGCTATTTAAGTGAATCCTGGAATCACAAATTTAATTCATTCTTGAAGGCCATTCATCAATTGAAAAGTTTATAAACCAAAATAATTTTTCCCATAGGAATTAATGTGAAATGGATTAATTTGTTCCTTGACCATAGATAATCGTTTATTTAAACTTTACAAGAGCCTATTAAATGGGCATTCATTTGAAGCAAGGATATATGCAGAAGATCCTGAGAATAATTTCATGCCTGGTGTTGGTCCTTTGATACATTTTCCGTACCTGAGCCTTCAGAGAGTGTTAGAATTGAAACTGGTGTTCGTCAAGGTTATAAATATATTAATTATTTTATTCTTTAGCAATGAATAAACGTACTGTTACTTTAAAATATCAAAATTTTGGGATTTTTACCCACATTCAAAGCCATTAAAGGAAGAATTCTCTAAAGTAGTCTGTCTGTTAATGAAAATATTGGAACTTTTTGAAAAAATTTAATCCTAATATATTTTGCTGCTTGTAAAGTTGTTAGATATATGTGATAAAATTTTTCAAAATGTTTTGATAAGAACTGAAACATTATTCTTCAGGATTTTATCGTTGAATAAATTGAATTTTTTAATTTTTTATGGAAAAGAAAAAAAAAAAAAAGCTTAAAATTTTCCATTTATTAACCATTTTTACTTTTTGTTAATGGTACTACTTTAATGAATAGATAGTATTACCAGAAAGTGGTATAACACTATATTTATTAATATATTATACCTAAATATTTGATAATTCTGTACCAAACATAAAGGAAATCATTAAAATTCATGTACCAAACATTACAAATTCATGTACCAAACATAAAGGAAATCATTAAAATATGAAATGAAAAAGACAGGCACAATGTTAAGCAAATAAAATAAATGAAACTTAATTTTACTTTACCTGTATGAAGAAGAGTGACAACATAAGTGGCAAATAATAAGGATGATGTCATTGTTTTCATGTGAAATTCCCTTTCATAAAAACAGTAATTAACCACTTGTGCTATGACTAAACGTCATGGTCACGGTTACGGCGCCATGCGCTATAATATAACAAGCGGTAAAGAGTCTTATTTACGCTGCTCCGCATCTGTGAATGCAATTCAGAGCTGTAACTCGAGAAATAACAATCTTGTTGTTAGGCGACATGTGTGCCTTTCTTTCTTCCTCTTCTTGTGAAAACATTGCTTCTAAAATTGCTTTTTGTTGCTGCTTCTGAAGTTTTAGTTCTTTCTTGTTAAGTTCATTTTGTATGATCCTCTAGTAACTTCTCTGTATCATAATTGGCAAATTTTTAGCCCGTGGTTTAGCCTAGAGACATAATATCATAGATAATAAAAACAAAATATTAAGTGCTCAAAATCTTTGTCTACAACCCAATCTGGCCATAATTTCTGAATTCATAGTTGTCAGTCACTTGCTGCTAGATTTTATTAATGAGTTTAATTATGAAAAATATTAAACTGATAATTCCAGAAATCCCTGAGTGTTAATTATGGGGCACATATTACCTCAAAATGCCTCTGAAAATCATGTGTTGCCAATTTGTATTTGTAAATTGAAGTGCCGTTTGTCATCAGTGATGTTTTGTATTAAGATAACTGCTTCTATGATTCGAGATTCCACTATATATATTTAATGATCTTTTAAATAATATGCTTATTTAATTTATATTTAAGCCTTTTCTTGAAATATAGATTGTATGAGACTGAATTTCTTTGTTCAGGTGGCATCAGGTGAAAAGCTGCCTTTGTGTCAGAAAGATTTAATATTAAATGGGCATTCATTTGAAGCAAGGATATATGCAGAAGATCCTGAGAATAATTTCATGCCTGGTGCTGGCCTTTGATACATCTTCCGTACCTGAGGCCTTCAGAGAGTGTTAGAATGAAACTGGTGTTCGTAAGGTTATAATATAATTAATTCTTTTATTCTTTAGCAATGAATAAACGTACTGTAAAACATCAAAATTTTGGGATTTTACCACATTCAAGCCATAAAGGAAGAATCTCTCAAAAGTAGTCTGTCTGTTAATGAAAATATGGAACTTTTGAAAAAATTAATCCTAATTGTTTTGCTCTTGTAAAGTGTTTAGATATAATGTGATAAATTTTTCAAAATGTTTTGATAAGAACTGAAACATTATTCTAGGATTTATCGTTGAATAAATTGAATTTTTTTATTTTTTATGGAAAAGAAAAAAAAAAAAAGCTTAAAATTTTCCATTATTAAACCATTTTATTTTTGTTAATGGTACTACTTTAATGACTAGATAGTATTAGCAGAAAGTGTATAACACTATTTTATTAATATATTATACCTAAATATTTGATAATTCTATAGTAATATAAAAATAAATAATAAAATAAGATTTTTTCTTCATTATAATACAGTCAAAAGTCATTAATTTTGACTCGTCGGGATTTCAGCGATTCCGGATTATCGATTTTTCGGGATTATAGATCATCAGTTTAAATCTGGTAAGATGGCATGCAGAAATTATAAAATTAAGACTTTGAAACTGTAATTTATGAATTAAAGAACAATTATGATCTAAAGGGTATCAAAATTTACAAAAAAAAAAAGCTTAATATTTATTTGTTTACTTTATTAAACATTTCTTTCAATGTAAGTTGTTTAAGTTGCTTTATTTTATGCGCTAATACTTTCTCTTTAATTCTATATAAACAGACATAGTTTCTTGTTCAATTACAAAGTTCCGCTGTTTAAGTCCTGTAATTGCTGTGCCGAGAATACCGACTAACTTTTCAATCGAAATTTTTTGTTTTCACTAACCTCTCTGTCACTTTCTTCATGCCTTTATCCATTTTTTGCAGCAATTCCACTTTTTGTTTGATGGACATCGAAACATACTTTCGCTTTGTAGATTCTTTGGAAGCTCCAGCATCGGAAATTCTATTTGACATAATCGAAAATTCAAGCTTACTTTTATAAAATTGCTCTGACAGTCTGCAAAAAATAATAAGCCGGATCCAATTCGAAGATTAAGGAACAACGCAACTTGCAACATTAACCGAAATAGATAATTAGATCATTTTAGCTTATACCGTCCGTTATACATTAAACGCGTATGTGTAAACGTATTATGCACACACGCATATGCGCAGCCGTAAAGGTCTTACGCGCATGTGTCAACGCTAGGCATGCGCAGAAAGTTTGTAGCTTTGAGGTATGGATTATGGGTGTCCTAATTAACAACTTTTGACTGTATGGCAATTTTTTAAAAGATTGATATACATGTATGAGATAACTGTTGGCATTATTTATGACTGCAAACATGAATAAAAAGTAGATCATTTTAATACCCTTATTTATTCTATAATATAGTTTCAAAAATATGTATATTATAATAATATTTATCCATTAATTTAAAACTCAGTATCTCTAGTTCTAGTTATATTTAAATAGAAAAATTATTATATGGTAGACACAATGTTGTCTCACCATTTGCACTACCCACATTGAAAATGCAACACGAAGAAAGATTGGCCAGAAAGTGATGAAACTCAGCAAACAGAGACAGCAATGAACAATAAGGGATCTTTATTTTGAAATGATATGCATAATACAGAGCGAGAACAGCATTGGCTCAGTATCACCATTTGTGTATCACCATTCAAGGTTGTAGGACCACCTTGAATGGTGATACACAAAGCTACATGTACAGAGTCAATGAAACTACGGATGGTGTCTTGAGAAAGGGCTCTTCATTCCCTGTCAATCATTTGCCACAGTTTGTCTTCTGAACACGGCAATGACAGGGTCTGCAAATGGCGTGCAATCAGATCCCAATTATGTTTGACTGGTGAGAGATCAGGAGAGAACGGTGGCCAGGGAAGCATCTGTACACCTTGCAGAGCACTGGCTGATGCGAGCAGTGTGTGGTTGGGTGTTTTTCTGCTGATAAAGAGCATGGGGCACTCTCTTAAGGTAGAGGAGTGTCACCAGCCACAGCACATCATCCACGTTTTGTTGGGCCATCATAGTGGCCTGAATATGAGCTAGAGGTGACCTGGAATCGTATGCAATTGCGTGACCATGATGTTGCATTGTTGCATGGTGGGGCATTCCACAACTGCTGCCGGACTGGACCTGTCTCCATATTGGTGCCAGTATACACGGCAAACCTAGCATTGGAGAAACAGAAGCATGATGCATCTGAGAACATGTCCCTTTGTCATTCTGCTGGCCACATCTCTCAAGCCCGGCACCATTGCAGTCTTTGTTTCTATGATGTGGAGTCTAGGGTAGTCTTCTTAACCCCTTAACTGCTGTGGGCGTATATATACGCCTTGCTCAGCCGATGCGTTAACTGCCCCCCCCCAGATGCGCCCAGATGCACAGCCAATGCGTTAACTTTGCGAATAATTTTAGGTGTAGCAGCGCAAAGCAAGATAGCAGTTTGGAAGGACGTATATATACGCCTGGGGCAGTTAACGCATTGGCTGAGCAAGGCGTATATATACGCCCGAGGCAGTTAAGGAGTTAATGGATGCCAGGAGTGCAGGCCACTAGCCACCAATCGACGGCAAATGGTTCTGGTTGATATAAGAACTTTCGGGGTGTCTTGAACATGTTGCAAAATAAGGTAGAAGTGGCTTACGGAGGCTTCTGTCCACGCATACTGACATCACTCTGGCTGCACCACCATCCCTCATACTTGCCACATTTCTTTGTTTCAACCATCATCGCTATAGCTAGTGCACTGTGAATGTGTCCATGTGTGTGTCAGCTGAGATTTGCCATATGGACCAACCTGTCCTTCTCAGTCCGATCACCATGCCCCTCGTAAAGTCATATATCTGCTGGGACTACCTCCGTTGACAACGGTCTGACATTCTTTGCTATTACACACATCCTCAGAGACAAGAACAAACTTTCTATGATGATTTGCCTAGCAGAAAAAAGGGCATGAAAATTGTCTGCAGGTTCATTCCCTTGCACATTTCACATCATTCGTATAGCTTGGTAACGCGTGTATATTCTAAAATTTGCATAATTTCTGGGGTACTCGTTCTTGGTGTTACATTTTCAATGTTGGGTATCATAATAAATGTGTAAAAAGGAAAAATTTTTATTTTATTGTAATAAACATTGAAATTTTATATATTAGGGGTATTCAAATGAAAGGGTACAAAATGACACTATGTGTATATTGAAGTCTTTATTGGCAAGTAATCACCAGAAGCCTGTACACAACTGTCCCTCTGTTTCGCAAGGCGAAGGATTCCCTTTTCCCAGAATTCCTGTAGCTGTGACAGGAGTCATTCTTCCAGT